CGTAGCCGTCGCCGTCGCCGTCGCCGGCGGCGTGGGAGGCGACAGAGACGCCCTTGTGGCCGAGCAGGGCGTACAGGCCGAGGCTGGGCCCGGCGGTGTGCACGAAGAGCCGGGCGTCCGTCGTCAACGTCGGCTGTCCGTTGTCAGAGACGCGAAGACGCACCTCAAACAAACCCTGCGCCAGACTGCCCGAGCCCGTCTGTAGGTCGCCCGTCAGTCGGTTCAGCGAAAACAGGCTGTTCACGTCGTCTCGCCCCGTCAGCCGCCGGCCTCGCGTCACCACCGACATCGTCATCGCCGTCGCCGTCGCCGTCGCCGTCGGCGTTGGCGTTGGCGTCGTTGTTGGCGTCCTCAACGGCTGCACGGCGATCAGATCGAAGGTGAGATTGGCGTTCTCCGGGGCGTCCGGATCGCTGGCCGCCAGCGTCACAATCGAGTGTCCCGGCAACACCGGTCGACTCAGATTCACCAATCCGTACTCGTACAGCTCGACCTGATCGCTGCCCGCCCAGCGGAGTGCGGCGTTCAGCAGACGCCTAGCCTGCGTCGTCAACGGCGACGGCGACGGCGACGGCGACGTTGGCGTGTAGTCGACGTAGAGCCCGAAAGCTCGTGGCGTCTGCCAGACGGGCGGATTGTCGTTCTCATCGGCCACCTCGATGCGCACCTCTTCGGTGGTGTTGCGGGCTGTCGGGCGGCCGAGGTCTTGGATGCGCACCAACAAGTGGTAGACGGCCTGTTGCTCACGGTCCAGGGCGGACTGGACAAACAGTCGACCCGTCTTGGCGGCCAACGAGAAGATCTTCTCGGCCTCGGGCAGACGAAGCCGATTGGCGGCCAACACCTCGACGAGTCGGAACTCGAAAGTGCCGTTCAGTCCGGCGTCCGGATCGACTCCCGTCAATTGGCCCACGGGCTCCGAGTAGCCCGGCTGGTTCTCGATCACCCGAAAAACGCGTCGCCCCGACAACCTGGGTGCATTGTCGTTCACGTCGGTGACCAGAACTCGCACGCGTACACGTGCAGTCGCAGTCGACTTTGCTGCCGCCGTCGCCGTCGCCGTCGCCATCGGACCGACGGCGTCGGAGGCCAACAGCATAAAGTCGATGTCCGGCTGCG